GACAGGTGAAAGAACAGTTAGTCGTCAATGAAATACAAACATCGCGAATTGAAAGAAGTTGAAATTCATGGATTATTGGATCAGGCCACAATGACAGAATAGTCTACGAGCTCGCCTTGTGACTAGAAGATATTGAGTTCGAACCCCAGTGGCTGCGTATCACTGAAGAGATCGCCAAACCAAGACGAAACAGCTGTCCAGTACTCCGGTACTTGTTTCCCTGTGGTTCTCTATCTGATGTCAGCTAGTGATCAAACCTCTATCTAACCAGTCGAATCTCTGCTAGACCACCACCACCACCACTTGACAACACAGAATGTGAACACAACAAAATAAGATACACTGCTACAGAAACAGATAACTGAGGGAACCAGCTACGAATAACACCAGCAACCAACACCTCAATGACTTACCAAATGAGACCTAGGAAAATCGATTAGAAAAGTCGTATAATTCATCGAAAATATTGCTGACTAAAAAAAAGGAAATCTATTTATGATGAATACAAGAAAATCGATAAATTTAATCAGGATGATGACCTTTAATATACTGAAAAATTGTGGGTTTTCGTAAATGGGTGCACTAATAATCCCTCAGTGCTCACCTATAACCAGAAATTTAACCTATAGCTTAACTTTACTCCTGGATTGAAATTCACGATTTGAACAGTTCATCACAGAAGAGGTGAAAGTTCCCCTATATGTGTGCTCTGCTTGATGACATAAAAGGAAATCGAAAAAAAATTAATCACCAATGCAAGACACCACATACTACTAACTGATTCAGATGAGTATATGGTGAGAGCTGGCTGTTAGCCAGATTGGTAGACAGTAATTTACGTCAATGTTTATGTCCCAAATACATTGGTCGTGAGAAAAATGAGAACACAAAGGCTTTGCGTAGGCGGATACAGTTAACATATAGATAATCTGACATTCAAGAAACAGCAGCTACAAAGAGATGAAAGATTAACTGACTTTCAGTGAGAAGCAACCAGTCAGAAGACTGTTTTTCTGCTAGCAGTAATCTATAACAATGTACATGAAAATCTATAAATATGTGCTGATTTCCTTAATAAACGATCTGTTGCCTGGCCCTTGTCTGCTGTTGTAACAAGCAGTTGTGTACCACTGGCATTCGATGAAAAGTTAGCGCATGAATATTCCCAACCAGTCTCTGTATATATATGTATATATGTACTTCATTAAATTTCAAAAAATGCTGTTAATTCAATTAGGTAACAACTACACGCACATAAAGTCATTTATGCTATATTATGCTATACAGAAATGGCGGTATGAGAACAAGAATAACCAGTAGGTTAACTGATGGATGGTGACTAGCACTGGAATCCAGGACAACCCATATTTCGTCCTATTCGGGAGTCATCATCTGACTGGATGTACCTGCATTCCGCAGTGAGTGATGAGGCTCGCAATTAATCAACGGGAAAATCTAAAACTCAATTAAAGTAATTAATATGACCCACCGCACACAAGAGGTAGCCAGCTCTCATGGCCCAATTGGTCTAGTGGGTAACGCTTTGGCGTTTGAAACTATAGACACTGCGTTTGAGCCTCGGTGAGAACATCATCACTCAATTTGAAATAAAGGTACATCCAGCTGGTGACGAGTCCCAAATAAGACGAAATGTACATCCTGAATTCCAACTCTAATTAAATACCCCGACATCTTTAAAGCATCTACACAAGAAGCCAACATATCAACTAGAGATCGAGCACTTCGGTCCAATCAATCGATCGACGGGAAAATCTAAAATTTTCAAAGGAATGGATACTGAACAAAGAGTACTCTTTTCGATAACCCCTTCTTCATCAGGCTCTAAATTTATACATACCTTATAGTGAATGAATGAGTTAGTGTTATAAACGACATTAATGCTTAAATAACATCAAATCAATAATATTGATGGATTACAGCTGAGTCGCATCAACAGAGAATAAGCTGAATGTCAGAAACATTAGGAAAGATAATAGTACAAATTCATGAGTTTATATTCTGCACTGAGGGCCAAGGCAATTGTAGGGGCTGAACTTGCTCCTTTTGAACACAGAGCACTGGTTTTTTGAGGCGAATTGCAACAGCTTCTGCTGTTTGGAGGATGCGGTGCTTCGATTATTTTGGCAATTTATTAGGCACCCGGTAGATTATGGAGAAGGGTTCTTCCACGCTGGCTTAGTGTCCGGTTTGCACCAGATATTCCAATATCGAGCTGTTAATGGTTTTAGCTACACCTTTACTTAGCCATAGTGGGACATGTTCTCGAGTGAACACGAAAAATCAAGTTCCTCGCGTAACGGCCAATATAACTCACTCCACAAGCGCAGTTGAATTGATAGATACAATTAGTCTAGGTACTTCATCTTTCAGTCGAGGAATCACCATCGGTCGTGTAGAGAATAAGACGTGTAGTTCGCCAGCAGTAAAAGTTCTTTGAACTGATTTTCTTAATTTCTTCGCAACTATCTCTCTTGGTATATCGCCCATGAATTGTAGTCGTATGTAAAGAGGCTTCTTTTTTACAGATAGTCAGTGCTCCTTTTCCTTTTTCTTTGCCATGTGTTTCTTGATAAATTTTTCGGGATAGCCATTTTTGATCAAAGTATCATATACAATGCTTAATTCATCTTCAATTACTTCTTCTGAACATATAGCTCTAATTCTGTGGCTGAGGGTCTTCACTAAATTTCTTTTATACTTAATAGGAACGAAGCTGTGAAAATGTGTATATTGTCCTGTCCAAGAGCTTTTTCTATGCAAATTTCTTTTTATGCTACCATCTGGTTTTCTGGTAAGTAGGACATCCAGGAAGGCAATTTCAAATCTAAAATTCAATTAAATAATAACCAATAGGAATGCAAGGACGCATCTGCAGATCATATGGATCTCAATAAATAAATAAATAAGAAGGTAAATTGATTGCTCACTAAAAAGCAGTTGATGTGTGATGTCAAGTGTCTCTCACTCTTACTGTTCGTACTGACTAGATTCTATGACAGTCAATTTTACAATGTGGTCAACAAGCATTGGTGACTCACCATCTTGACTCACTTTGATGAATTGATACTAGATGAATGAGGGAAAGGCAACAAAAAGGCTTGAAATCGAAACAGATAATCTCAATGTGGTATCATTTTTGACTTCAGCATCGGTTGATGTGAGTACGAACTTCATGATGGATTATAATTATTATTGTTCCCTTGGGTTCCTCCTAGTGGAACATAGGGCTTCAACTGAACGTCTCCACTTGCCACTTCTGTCTTCCTTCTGCTGTACTTTTCACCTGCATCCATGCACATTAGTCCATACTGTTTCAACTCCTCTTCACACGATCTCCTCCATGTCACCCTTGCACTGACGTCCCACTCGCCGCTTCCCTGTCGGCCTGGTTCCACTCGAGCAATGGCCTGACGCGAGCGCGATGTCACCCAGCGACGGCCTCCTCAGCCACGAGTGTCCAATCCATCTCCACTTTCTCCTGCATATTTGTTGGTTGGCGATTGGTTTTTGTTTTGTTTGTTCCCAGCCATAGTTTCTTGTTGGTGATTCTTTCCGGTCCGGCCCGGCCCGGCCATCTGATCTTCAGCATAGAGCCAGCGAAGACAGTTGTTGATGAAGGTCTGCAACAAGCTGTTGGAAATATTCTTTGTGGCCCGCCCGCCCGCCAAGTTTCTGATCCGTATAGAAGAACTGACTGACTTGAGGTTGTTTGTATTGAAAATCCGACTGAATCTTGTTGTTGATGCTGAGTTGAGTGACGAAGATTTCCAGATTGATTTCAGGTTGATGAATGTGTTTCTCGTCTTCCTGATTCTCAATTTGACATCCTCGTCCGTCCTGACTGCCTGTAGTTGAAATAATGCTCCCTAGATAAGTGAATGAAGTAACCTCTTTCAAATCCCTCCCGTTGATGGTGATTGACGTTGGATGTTGCTGTTGTTGGTTGGTTATTTTCATCACCTCCGTCTTGTCTATGTTTACCTGGAGTCCGGTCTTCGCCGACTGCTTCTTCGACCAGTTTGTCGGTTTTCGCTTGTAAGTCTTCGATTGTGTGTGACATCAAACATAAATCATCAACAGGCGAAATCCAGGTCTTCTAGGTTCTTCGCATCGGTCCAGACAGGATATTCCTGTATTCTCGTTTTCCACTGTCTGACGCATAATGCAGTCAGTCCACAACAATTAGGAATATCATTAGTGATAGATAATAAGCACCCTTGTCTGACTCTTGACGGATGGATATTATTCCTTTAAGATTGTGGATACGTCCTCTTGATGAGTACCAACAGGCACAAAAGCACAAGTGAGACTGAATTCAACCTTCAAACGACAAATTAAAAGTAAGTCAATTAGATGCATGAATGCCAGGCATCAGTTTACCAGGTATATACGTCACATGTTGGTAAAAGTTAACACAAATTGATTGAACTTAACAGAGTGACCTTCGTGTTTTAAGGGCAAAATGAATTTCATTACGATTTCAAATAATCTCGAGTAAATCACTTAGTAAGCCGATTAATTCGCTGCCCTTAACATTTAACACGACCTAAAAAGCAATCATTATGCACAATAGAAGGAAGGTATTTTCTGGTTGGTACTGGCCATCAGTCGAATCTAGGATGCGGAACTTCCTCCCTCCCTCCACCACCTATTTCGGAATTCCTCCTGTGAACCTGCCTATAATCATCAATCAGGAAATTACGCTATTCCCATTTACATCTGAACCCACCAAACCATCGTTTCAAACCCCCCCTATAGAACAAGCTGACGAATTCCAAGTGGAAAGAAACACAGGTCATGTTGTATTCCACTGCCAGCCTACATCAGCCATCACTGATATCACTGGCTATCTCAAGACACTGTCGTACCGTACATGCTAGAAGGTGGCATACTAACACAGTGGACTGAGGATTGAAATTTAAGGAATAAACGAATCAGTGGCAAATAGAACAAAAAAAATAATAACATAACTGACTTACTCTGGATTGAAGTAGTTTCATATACTGTTCAGATAGGTCATCATAAGTGCGGATGTATTTCCCATTGACTTCATCACTGCATATATCCCATTCCTTTGGCACATCTGGTTTTACATTGATAAGTCGACGAACAACAGGTGAATTTAAATAACTACGTATCAGTGTATCGTCTACACATGCTACAGTTAAACGTGTCGTCAAATTACGACGTAGTGCAGACCTGCAAAAGAGAGATCGATTCACATCAAAGTTATTTTCATTGGACACTAGTAACTAGTGCTACGTGTCTAGTCCTTCGTGTTTGGTGCAGACTGAATTCTGTCAGTCATGTTTGTAATGTGGCCACCATTCTAAGTAGCTCACCACCGTGGTGCACATTGATTTGATGATGATATTAGATGGTTGGAGGTAGTCGACCACAGGAGGCATTGCTCGACCTAGGTTTCGTGCTAGTTGACACTCAACAGTTAGTCAGAAAGGCGTATCTGCAAGTTAGCTTGAAGGAACAACTCATGTCCCTCATTCTGAGATTCGAACCCGTGTCACCCAGTGGGGCTGCAGTCAGAGATGTTACCACTGAGCAGTTATTCGGGCTCACGATTGACCTTCTGTAGGACTGTAGTAGATATTTTAATTGGACACTAGCAACTAGTGCTACGTGGTGCAGACTGAATTCTATCAGTCAGATAAAGTATAATTATTTATTGAATTGAATTTTTTGATTTTCCCGTCGATTGATTGGACCGAAGTGTTCGGTCTCAGGTTGACATGTCGGCTTCTTGTGCAGATGCTTCGACGATGTCTGGGGATTTGATTTGTATACAATTGGTGGATGGTGGCTAGCAGTGGAATCCAGGATGCGCATTTCGTCCTAATTGGGACTCGTCAGCTGGATGTACCTGCATTTCTCAGTGAGTGATGATGTTCCCACCGAGGCTCGAACCCAGTGCCCATAGTTTCAAACGCCAAAGCGTTATCCACTAGACCACTTGGGCCACGAGAGCCACCTCTTGTGCAACGGGTCATATATTAATTATTGAATTGAATTTTTGATTTTCCCGTCGATTGATTGGACCGAAGTGTTCGGTCTCAGGTTGACATGTCGGCTTCTTGTGCAGATGCTTCGACGATGTCTGGGGATTTGATTTGTATACAATTGGTGGATGGTGGCTAGCAGTGGAATCCAGGATGCGCATTTCGTCCTAATTGGGACTCGTCAGCTGGATGTACCTGCATTTCTCAGTGAGTGATGATGTTCCCACCGAGGCTCGAACCCAGTGCCCATAGTTTCAAACGCCAAAGCGTTATCCACTAGACCACTTGGGCCACGAGAGCCACCTCTTGTGCAACGGGTCATATATTAATTATTGAATTGAATGTTTGATTTTCCCGTCGATTGATTGGACCGAAGTGTTCGGTCTCAGGTTGACATGTCGGCTTCTTCTGCACAAGAAGCCGACATGTCAACCTGAGACCGAACACTTCGGTCCAATCAATCGACGGGAAAATCAAAAATTCAATTCAATAATTAATATATGACCCGTTGCACAAGAGGTGGCTCTCGTGGCCCAAGTGGTCTAGTGGATAACGCTTTGGCGTTTGAAACTATGGGCACTGGGTTCGAGCCTCGGTGGGAACATCATCACTCACTGAGAAATGCAGGTACATCCAGCTGACGAGTCCCAATTAGGACGAAATGCGCATCCTGGATTCCACTGCTAGCCACCATCCACCAATTGTATACAAATCAAATCCCCAGACATCGTCGAAGCATCTGCACAAGAAGCCGACATGTCAACCTGAGACCGAACACTTCGGTCCAATCAATCGACGGGAAAATCAAAAATTCAATTCAATAATTAATATATGACCCGTTGCACAAGAGGTGGCTCTCGTGGCCCAAGTGGTCTAGTGGATAACGCTTTGGCGTTTGAAACTATGGGCACTGGGTTCGAGCCTCGGTGGGAACATCATCACTCACTGAGAAATGCAGGTACATCCAGCTGACGAGTCCCAATTAGGACGAAATGCGCATCCTGGATTCCACTGCTAGCCACCATCCACCAATTGTATACAAAGTATAATTATCTTTCAATAGTTTACACACAATGATAAGTTTTGTTATTGGTAATATTTCGAGCAAAATTACTACTGCCCGTGTTCACACCACTGTTGGAAGTGTTTGTAATGTGGCCACTATTCTAACTAGCTCGCCATCACGTGATGTCCAGCCAAAATATCCACTACAGTCCTACAGGAGGTAAATCGCGAGCCCTAATAGCTCAGTGGTGGTAACGTCTCTGACTGCAGTCCCACTGGGTGACGCGGGTTCGAATTTCAGAAGGGACATGAGTTCCTTCAAGGGAGTTGCAGATACGCCTTGCTAACTAACTGGTGAGTTCCAACCAGCACGAAACCTGGGTCTATGGCTTCCTGTGGCAGACTGCCTCCAACGATCTAATAACACCAAAGTTAGCTTGTACCAACAAAAGTCAAGTATATAACTCATACAAAGAATATTTTGTAAGATAATTATTATGGATTGAGATGATCACCGTTTTAGAAGAACAATATTAACGAATACATATGGGTGAGTATATATACTACTGATTGAACGAGATAAGTAGTTGGATATCACTCGCACACATCAAATCTTAGTGCTTTCTGGCCAATCAGATCGAAGTGGTTTAAACAGTAGACGGTTGTTCGCCCCGACTGGAGTCAAGCTCATGAGAGGCGGCATAGGCACTGTACTTACAATCGAAAATGTTAATCAAAATTATCGAAAATTAGCTGGTATTTTTTGAGCTTCGATACTTCGATACTGCGAGCGCTTCAACATCGGTGACACTTTCAGCATTAAACTGACCAAAAAGGCAAGGCATATCTGTAAGTCATGGAAAATCCCCCATTTTAACATGTAGAAATTCAAAACAAGGGGTGATTTAGAGAAGAGACTCTTTTCAACGAATTTGCTGTCAAGCTGTACAATCGTATATATGGGTTTTAAGAAGTTATATCTGGTGATGGAATTACCCTCAGATTTCACCTTGCATCTCTTCAGGTAGAACAAGAAGTAACTTCAGAAAACTGTATGCTCGCACATCTAAGTATAAAAATTCTATGATATCATACTTGGCACGTATTTTATGTGATGAAAATAGTATCAGGCAAGAATTAACAAACCTTGTATGACAGAGCCAGAAAGCTATGTTCACCAAACAGGGTCGAAGAAGAATTAGTTTTCGTCGAGAAATGCCTAAGGGAAAATGGATACCCTAAGGGATTTATTCAGAAGTACAGCAGAGAAAAAGATGAGAAAGAAAAGCATCCAACTGTAGAAAAGAAAAAAGTGTTTATCTGTCTACCATACAAAGGAGATGCAGTGTCACAAAAGATTGAAAGGTGCAATAAATAGAAGCTTCCCAGCAGCAAAACTCATAACAGTATACAGCACCACTCCTTCTTTAATCCACTCAAAACTGGATAAATACCCTGCTGATGTCACCTCCAACTGCGTCTATGAATTCACATACACTTGCGGGAGCAAGTACATTGGAAGGACAGAAAGAAGGGCTTCTATCCGGTTTTCTGAACATATTTCCAAAAACCTGTGCCTGAAAGGAAGCAGATATTCCCAGAGTGCAATTATCAGACACATTGTTGATACCGGACATCTCGTAGAGATTTCTAAGTCCTTCAAAATATTAAATAGACAAAGGACAGCAAATTTACTACGATTTGCCGAAGCAATCGCAATCAAAAGACTTAAAGCAGACTTATGCATACAGAAAGAGAGTGTGATTAACCTCTCACTCCCTTGGTAACGGAATTTTGATTTTGATTAGCCATCCAATTCAGTGATCTCAACTCACTGAACAAATCTTAATCTCATAAATTGCAAACACTTTTGTTTTTTGAGTTGTTATGTGAACCTACGTGCGTCGGTGGTATAGCGGTTAGGACGCTCGCCGACCATGCATATGGGCCGGGGTTCGATCCCCGGCCGGCGCACTTCTTTACCTTACTGAGCCAGAAATAATGCTGGTAAAGAGGAAAGGTTGGGCATGAGGCTAGCAACCCCATCCTGTAAAAGTTAAACACTGCTACAGAAACTTCAAGCCACTAGCTTGGAGCCCTATGTTCCACTGGGAACGTCAAGGAAAAATTATTATTATTATTTATTATGTGAACCTACAAGCTAACACTGTTCTGTTAATCAATTTTTTCTGTTTTCTGTCTTACCCCTACCCCTCTTTTCAACTTTAAAAGCGTATAAATTGATGATGAAAACTTAAACTAAAAACATTGTAATGCTTTCACTTAGATGCGTCAATTTTATAGTATCTCTTCTCTACCACCATTCAAACATTAAAGTATATTATTATCATCTATATAACCATTGCAATTTCGGGTAGTCTGCAGCTGATGAGAACCTGTGAAATAGAATGATATCATTTCATACTGCAAATTTCGTCTTCCTTTCTTTATCGAAACCTTTTTTTCATCTAGTAAATAAACAATTTCCTCCATCCCTCCTTATATACCTTCAAGTTTTACTTTTATTGTTTCTATTATATTTATGGTCCTCTCTATCTCAACTTCATCGACTTTGAAAAGGCCTTCGACAGCGTCGATCGAGAGGTGATTTGGCAACTACTTCGCTACTACGGGGTCCCATTGACAATTATACATCTCGTCCAACAGTTATACGACAATGCTGCATGCCAAGTAATCCACAACGGGAAACTTACGGAGGCCTTCGAAGTGAGGACGGGAGTGAGGCAAGGCTGTCTACTATCACCAATGATCTTCCTGATTGTAGTAGATTGGATAATGCGACAGACAACGGCAACCAACGAGGGAACAGGCATAAAATGGACTGACACGAAAGACTTGGAGGATCTGGATTTCGCCGATGATATATGTCTGATTTCCCATAAACTGGAAGATATGCAAGTGAAAAGTAACAAGTTGGCAGAAGAAGCATCAAAGATAGGACTTCACGTGAACATAGATAAAACAGAGATGATGAAGATTCCTAGCCAACAGCAACAACAACAACAGACAACAATCAGCATAAGTGGGAAGAACCTGAAAGAAACAACCTCCTTCACCTACCTGGGAAGCATCGTCTCAACTACAGGCGGAACTGACGAGGACATCAAAGCCAGAATCGGAAAAGCGAGAGAAGCTTTCATTACTCCCAAATCTGTGTGG